ACCCTAGAAACCCTTCACACTCCTATGTAAACCACTTGACAAAAACCTAAACCGAAAACAACACAGTTTATGTAAAAGATAGATTTCAGTTCTTTAAGCCAGAAACAAATTTACAGTCTGATAATCGTGTATCAAATTTTTATTTTTAAGTTTTCAGTGTTAAATTATAGTCCAAACCATCCTAGAAACTCCTTGGATTCCCTTACGAATTAATTTGCAGAAGTTAAATCCATATTCAACATAGTTTTATGCAAGAACCAATTTCAGCTTTTTAAACGAAAACAAATTACAGTCTAGTATAATATGCATCATCCACCATGTTTTAATAGTTTAAATTAATCCCTGGAGACTAAAAAGAATGCACAGAACACAAGTTTACAGGAAAGGAATAAAAGGAAACTTGCCTTTAGGTTTCAGTTTGAAACCTTACAACGCCGTCTATGGAGTTTCCGACGAACGGATGACCACCAGCAACCTTCCTACTGCTCAGTCCTATCTCACAGTAAATCCTACCTTCCTCCTTGACATGAGCTTCAATCCATGGCTGGAAACCTCCCCCAATTTTCCTTCATATTTTTCCCCTCACCTCTCTGTTTCTCTATTTTCTAATACGTAAATAAGGTGTCTCACCAAAAACCCTTGCAGACATATAAGAATATATATACAGGCTCTATTAAAACCCTAATCCTAATTCCACAACTCATCATATGTCGGCTATAACTTATATATAAATTAAACCCTAAACTTAAATACCACACAAACATGGCATTAAACCAAAGACGTCCACTACAATAAAAATAAAAATTAAATAATAACATTTAAAACAAGTAAACAAAGAAAAACAAATAAATAAATATACTCAACCGCATCATTCAAAACACATAACAATTTTCAGTCAAATCAATAATTAAATACATACCCAGATAATCATATTTAAATGCACACAAATCAATTAATCAATTAAAATGCACATAAAATACACAAATAAATTCCAGTTATATCCTTTTGAGAATTAGGGGTATTACAGATTTTGGCTTTAATACAGGTTGAAGTGGCACAGGGTCGTAAACGTGCTCGGCCAGTATATGGAAAGCCTTATCCTGATCATGTTGATGCCCATGAGTTGCCTAAAAATTATTGGTACCCTGATTTTTCTATTTACTGTGGTGAAGAGAATTTTTCTACGGTGCAGCACATTGCGAGGTTCACAGCATAATGTGGTGAAGCAGGTCTTAATCCTTGGTTGAGGATAAGGTTATTATCTAGCTCTCTTGCGGGGGCGGCATTTGAATAGTACAACAACTTACCAGCCAATTCCATTCAAACATGGGATGAAATGGAGGAAGCTTTCCATACCCAATTCTACCGAACAGAGACAGAAGCTACACTGGCAGATATATCCCGTTTATCTCAGTTGCCAAGTGAATCGGTGGAGACTTTGGTTGCCAGGTTCAGAAAAGCTAAACTTAAGTGCCGAGTAAGTTTGCCAAAATCAGAATATATCAAGTTGGCATTAAATGGTTTAGACATTGAACATCGCAAGAGGTTTGATGGGGTTGAGTTTTAAGACCTCTTCGATTTAGCAGACATGGCTTTTCGGTATGAAGATATACTTAAACAAGAGAAAAAGTGGAAGAATTCTTCTAAGTGTACTTATTACAAAGACCCTAATTATGAGGTATTCTCAACAGAAGTTAGAGAAGAATTAGAAGTTAACGTTGCTGAGGTCAATATCAAGAAGCCATACATCTGTAAGGTATTGGTCAAACTTAAGTCGACCACGGGGGGCAATGCAGCATCAACATCGGCAACAAGGAAAGGTCCTACCGATACAGGGAAAAGCTACTCATTTGACTTATCAAAAATAAATCAAATCTTTGATCACTTGATGGCCGATAAAATGATCTATTTGCCTAAAGGGCATAAGATTCCATCAGCAAATGACCTCAAGGGAAAAGAGTATTATAAGTATCATAACTTTTGGAACCATGCTACTAATGATTGTACTGTTCTACGAGGTGTATTGTAGAAAGCTATTGATGAAGGTACTTTAAAATTCCCGAAGAAAACTTCAGACACTATGAAGGTGGATACTAATCAATTCCTTACAATCACATCTACAAATGTGATAAGCTTAGCTAAGCGAAAAAATCGGCAGGAGGCTAAGAAGATATCAGGAGAGTTCCTATCATCAAGTACGACACTAAAAGATGGCAGAATTGCAGAAACAATTAAGAGACGCTCAATTGGCTCTGATAGATCAAGGTTGTTGCCCAAATTGCAAAGGAAAGTAGAAACTTAAGGAAAAGGATCCAATAAAGATTCAACCAAAGAAGAAAAAAGGAATTCTTGAGAGGCTTACCTTCCCAATTAAGCCTGGTGGAAAGCCTAGGCAAGATAATTCCAGGAGCAGTAATGTGAACGCAGAAAAGCAGAATCGGCAAGTATATATATTTAGCCAATTCCATTCCCAAAATCGGCATACTAGTTTTAAAAGGCAGTCGCCAGTTTAATCAGAAATTTGGATACAAAAAGGAGCTGAGTCACATAAAGTGCGAACTATAAAACCAAGAACAGACTCAGCGGAGGACAGATGCACTCGAGTCAATCACCCAAAATTCCCTAAAGTTCAACAATATCATAATAGAGGCCTTACTCGATCTCAGAAAAGCATGAAACAAAGGAGAAAGGCTGAGGAAAAAAGGAAAGCCGAGGAGGGAAGCAAAGAAGAGTTGGCGGAGGACATCGGCATTCCAGATAAAGAGCAACCGGATGAAGAGCATCAGCTGACATGGCCCAGACGCAAAAATGAGTTCAAAATTTGGTTTGCTAGTTTCCCAAATGAAATGTCATGTAATATGGCATTTGTATTACCAGTAATGTTCCAAGCCCCATCGGCATCAAATACAAGAACTGAAAATAAGGAGAAGAAAACTCAGCCAATTCAGAATTTATCAATTCTTTCTTCAGAATCGGCAAAAAAGGTAGTCTTTGAGAAACCTTTGTTAGCGATGACTCAATAACTGAGGCTTTTGTATGTCAAGGTATGGGTAGAAGGCCAACCTATTAATCAAGTCTTGGTTGACAATGGTTCTATTCTGAATGTTATCCCAGCTAATACTTTGAAGAAACTCGGTAAGAGTATGGAAGATGTTATTCCCACTGATGTAGCAATTTGTGGGTTTAACGAAGGTTCTACTAGTACTAAAGGAATTCTTCCCTTAGAGGTCAAAGTTGGAGGAAGAACATTATTCACAATATTTTTTATTATTGAATCCACGGCTTCATATAATTTGTTGTTAGGTTGTGACTGGATTCATCCAAATATGTGCATCCTATCGTCGTTACACCAGATGCTGATCTTTTGGGATGAAGACAAGGTAAAGATAATGAATGCCGATGACAAGCCATTTGTGAAAAGAATGTACTCGGCAGATGCTGTTTTGTATGAAGAAGAGTGTGTCCCTATTCAATTTGTGTGAACAAAAGCTGATGGAAGACCTACATCGGCAACTATGAGAAGAAGTCTTGCCGATTGTGAAATCGGTGAATTGCAGCAAGAAAATTATAGGCCAAAGGTAGAACTCCCTCGGCTGACAATAGTTAAAGAAAAAGTTTTTAATGGAAGCGAAACTTGAAAGAGAAGCAGTTTGGCAGCAGGCCTATATGACCGCTTACATTAGGTTACAAGCATACATAGCTGAAAGACGACTGGAAAAAGAAGCAAAAATAGAGCCAGGACTATCAGCTAGAGTTACTGAAGTTAATCAAATCGATAATGAAAAGTTGGATACTATTCAGTTAGAAAAGTTGGAATTAGCACCAGCTAAGCTTGATGATCTTAAAACAGAAACTCAAGATCCATTAAAGGAGGTGAATTTAGGCACTGATTCAGAGCCAAGACCAACCTACATCAATATACTGTTAGACCCAGAATTACAAGCCGAGGTGATCGACATGTTAAAAGAATACAGTGACTGTTTTGCTTGGAATTATGAGGAAATGCCGAGTTTATCCAAAGATCTGGTGGAACATCGATTGCCCATGAAGGATGGCTATAAGCCATATAAATAGCCACCTCGCCGAACGTCTCAAGAGGTGGTAGATAAAGTCAAAATGGAAATCAAAAGATTGTTGGATGCTGGGTTCATTCGAACTACAAGGTATGTTGAGTGGCTATCGAATATAGTTCCTGTTATTAAGAAAAATGACGAATATGTGTTGATTTCCGGAACATAAGCTCGGCAATCCCAAAAGATTAGTATCTTATGCTGATAGCCGATCAATTAATTGATGTGGCTGCCAAGCATGAAATCATGTCTTTTATGGATGGACACTCAGGCTATAATCAAATTTATATAGCCGAGGAGGATATCCCAAAAACAGATTTCAAATGTCTAGGATCGATTGGAACTTTTGAATGGGTAGTAATGCCTTTTGGGTTAAAGAATGCTGGTGTTATATATCAGCAAGCTATGAATTTTATTTTTTATGATATGCTCGGCAAGTTTATGGAAGTATATATTGATGATGTTGTAGTGAAATCGGCAACAAAAAAGAAACACTTAGTTCATCTTAAAACATCTTTTGAGAGAATTAGGGCTCATAAGTTAAAGATGAATCTAATAAAGTGTGCCTTTGGAGTATCAGCAGGAAACTTTTTAGGGTTTTTGGTACACCAAAGGGGCATAGAGATCGATAGGAATAAAACTAAGGTAATTATTGATGTTAGTGCGCCGAGAAGCAAGAAGCAATTGCAGAGGTTACTTGGTCAAGTAAACTATCTTAGACGATTTATTACCAATACAGCTGGTAAGTTACATGTGTTTTCCCCTTTACTCAAGTTGAAGCCGATGGAAGAATTCAAATGGGACGATATACATCAGAGGGCATTTGAACAAATCAAGAAATACTTGTCGAGTCATCCTATAATGATGCTGCTGAGGAAGAAGTGGCCGATAAAGTTATATTTATTGGTTGCCGAATAATCCATCGGAAGTATGCTGGCACAAGAGAATGAAGCAGGAAGTGAACAAGTAATATACTATCTCAGCCGAGTTTTAACTCCAGTCGAGTGTAGATATACGCCGATTAAGAAATTATGTTTGGCTTTGTATTTTGCAGCAATGAAATTAAGAGTATATATGTTGCCTGTTTTGGTTTATATTTCTTGTCAACCAGATCTTATAAAATATATGCTATCAAGACCATTAATCACAGGTCAGATCGGCAAGTGGGCTTTGGCACTAATGAAGTTCAACTTTGCATATGTTCCACAAAAGGCAATTAAGGGAAGAGTATTGGCAGATTTTCTTGCCGATCATCCCTCACCTGAAATCGAATCACAAGTGTTTAATGAGCTTGACTCGACAGCCATATTCATGACCCTTTGGACTTTAATGTTTGATGGGTCGAGTACCAGTGAAGGCTCTGGAGCTAGTATAGTAATAATATCCCCATCAGGGAACCAAATTTTGTTTTCCTTCTTTTTGGATTTCAGGTGCTCAAATAATCAAGTCAAGTATGAAGCATTGATTATCGGCTTGGAAATTCTACTAAAAATGGCAGTCAAGGATGTGCACATTGTGGGAGATTCAAGTTTGGTGATTAATCAAATCTTAGAAGACTTTAGATGTTTAAATTGGCAATTAAGGCCATTTCATTCATTGGCAACCCAATTGGTCAACCAATTTCACAACGTGACTTTGGAATATAGACCAAGGGCCATGAATAAAGTAGCTAATGATTTAGCACAAACTGCTTCAGGAATCAGAGTGTCAAGTGGTATGAAGGACATGATAATGAAAATTGTACGCCGATCTCTTTTATCGGCTAAAACAAGAAATCAAGTTATGGAAGAAGTCTTTGCCATTGATGTTGTTGAGTTAGATGATGATGATTGGCGGATCCCTCACATCTTGTTCTTATAACATCCAACTCTAAAAGCCGATCAGAGAATAAAAAGAAGTGCAGTCGATAATGTACTTATGGATGGAGATCTTTATAGAAGATCGGCTGATGATGGTTTGTTATTTCAATATATTAGCAAGTTTAAAGGTTTAAAGATTATGGCAGAGGTACATGAAGGAATATGTGGAACTCACCAAGTTAGCATAAAAATGAGATGGTTGAGACGCCGATATGGATATTATTGGTCTGGAATAAGAAAAGATTGTATGACCTATGCAAAGGGTTGTACAGATTGTCAAAAGCATGGCCCATGTAGTGGGTTCCAGCAATAGAGATGCAATTATTAGTCAAACCATAGCCTTTCAGAGGTTGGGCCATGGACATAATCGGCAAGATTAATCCTCATTCATCAAAGGGTCATCATTGGATTATTTTAGCTACCGATTATTTTACCAAATTGGTAGAAGCCGAGGAATATGCCTCAGTAACTCACAACACTGTGATACAGTTTTTAGAGCGAAGCATCTTTCACCGATTTGGTTTACCAGAAACAATTGCTACCGATAATGGGTCTGTGTTTCGAGTAGGAGAAGTGTTACAACTCGACCACAATATGTAAGTAAAAATGGTAACTTTAATACCCTATTATGCTTAAGGGAATGGCCAAGCGCGCGGAGGCGTCAAATAAAGTTGTTATTGAAATTATTAAGAAGATGATAAAAGATAAGCCAAGGCGTTGGCGTGAAACCCTTTTAGAAGCCTTGTGGGCTTATAGAAATTCGAAGCAAACAAGTACTGGGACTACTCCTTATCGGCTAACATTTGGTCATGATGTTGTGTTGCCAATGGAATTAAATGTGAAATCGACAAAGGTAACTCTACAACACAATTTGATACCTGCTGATTACAATGAAGCTATGCTTACCAAGTTGGAGGATTTGGATGAAATTTAAAAACTTGATTTAGACCACCTTATGGTTTATAAAGTAAAGGTAATGAAGGCTTACAACAAAAGGGTGAAATTTAAGCCATTTGCGGAAGGTGACATGGTTTGGCAAACAATTCTTTCACCTGGGAAGGTGGATAGAATTTATGGAAAATGGTCACCTACTTGGAAGGGCCCATATTTGATTCACCAAGTGTTACATGGAAGAGCTTACAAGTTAAAATATTTAGATGGTGAAATTCATGAGAGGCCTATAAATGGAAGGTACCTAAAAAAATACAAACCAACTATTTTTGAACTTATGGAGGAAAAGAAAATCTCCACTAGATCAAAATAGTTTGGGTTATGTTAAGTTTAATTTGTTGATCTCCATTTGATTCTTGTAAGTTATTTTGATGCCATATGTATTTCAGTTAGATAAAGACATCATCAAAATAAAGTTCCAAACATATTTGTCCAAAATATCATATTACAGACCCATAATTATTTAAATTTTGTCAAAATTACTATGAAATTCTTCAAATTTGGCCTTGAAATCTGCCCACAAGGCCCGAGACTGGTTAAGGACTATTTCTGCTTGTTTCTTGTTTTGTTCTGACTTCAGCATATAAGCTTGTAATGCTTTGAATTTAGGGGCTGCAATCTCTATTTGAGTCTTTAATTCCGCCACTTTATTACCAAGTTAACTTTTATCCAGCTGTAGTTGAGCAAGTTCAGCTTGAAGTTTCTTCTCCTTAGCATCTAATTCAGCAGCTTCTTTCTTCAGAGATAAGTGCAGTTTTCTTCCCATCTTCAGTGTTTGGTAAAGTGTTTCTTTTTCTTGACACTGGGTTGAATACTGGTTGATGATTTGAACCGATTCAGCATAAGAAGTGGCCATGGAAGGGATTTGAAGTAGGAAATTTTAAAAAAAGGCTTGGTTACTCAAGGAAAATCCTGGGAAGCTACTGAGAAAAGAAAGTGTCTCAGTTAATTCCTCTTTAAAAGTAGGGGTCAAAGATAAATCCTATTGCAACATCTAGGACAAGATTTGCACAACTTTGGTTATTTCTAGAGGAATTTTAGTAGTTTTGACAGTGGATATCACGGGGGTTCAAGATCTAGGGAGTCAAACACATAATCAAATAGAGAATCCAAAGTGGTGAATGGTGAACTCGGGTTGGATCCTACAAGCACAATAAGAGAAGTAGGGTCTTTCTGCACCTAAAATATTTTGAATCAGTTTCAATCGTCACAAATAAACAAGTAATATGTTCATTTTACCTACTTACTTCCTCATAGTCTCCAATTTTTTCATTCATTGGAGCTGAAGCTACGTGTTGAGAAGAAGCTGGAGAAATCTTTTCAGGTGGGTTTTGTTCTTGCACCATTGAAACTTTAATCTTTTCCTTTTCAACATTGTGCACAGTAAAGTCTCGACTTGATTTTTGTTCTGAAGAGAGTGGAGTTTTCTGAAAATAATGTCGATTTAGTTACATTATGTGAACAAATACATAATGTATGAAATCAGGCATCAAGAAATTTTACATTGGGAGAGTTAGTGGCAAATTTCTTTTTCTTGGACATAACTTCATCGTTATCTAGTTCATCGTCATCAATCAAGACGAAATCTCTCTTGACTCTTGATTTATTAACAGGTTTCTTTCCAACAGTTTTCCTCCTTGTTTTTCCCTGTAACAGAAATGTTAGTAGGTAAAATGATATATATAAAAAAAATGGGAATGGTTCGAATATAAGTGTTACCTTAGAAACAGCTACCGGAGGGATACTTTGAAGAGGAACATAGAAATCAATTGGGGCTGATTCTGACAAGGTTAGGGTTGCTCTTTCTGGTGTAGAGGGTGGAACACCAATAGTTTAAATATAAAAAAAATTATGCCAAAAGTAGATATGATTATTGATGAGGTACGAGTAGGACCACAACTTACTTTGCCGAGAGCGTGATCTGGTCCTAGCTGCAGGAGCTATAGGAGGAAGTTGACTTGCTGGCTTGATAGGTTCAGCATCAAGAATGGGAGCAGCTGAGAGAAGAACAGGTGGAATTAGATCTCCTCCTTGGAAGGCAAGAGAAATAAACTTGTATGACCCAAGGAGAGTGTGCACAACTTGGGTGGATTATTTTGTCCTGGTGGAACTAGTGTATGCTGACCACTAACTTTTAAAATTGGGATCGGCATGAGGTTCTTCATGAAAGGGTTTGAATTGGAAATTTTGCAAGAGTTGCTGAAACTGGTTAGTTACATCTTTAACTTGTTCACTGTCTGATAATTTGACTCTCCGATTGAAGTTCTTGTTGTAAGAAAAATGGGGAGGCAATGGGATCATTTAAGTTAACCCAAATTGCCGGGCTAACTGAGCTGGGTTATAGAACTCCACTCCAGTTCGTCTTTTTGCAAGATATGGAGCCACAATGTTACAGGGAATATCTCTTGCAATCAGAAAGTGACCCAATGACAAGTTGTAGGATTCTATTTGCTCTGCCGAGGAATCGGCAGTAGGGGGAAACAACCAGGATGGAGCAAGTTTGCACCTTGAAAAAGGTAAGAATTGGGATCGAGATCTGACTTTACATTGACGATAGAAGAAATGAAAATAGTCTGGGAAATAATGATCCTTGGGTTTTGCTTTGGCAAAACCAAATGATATGGGGGGATCATCTGTAACAAACTGTATCTTAGGTGCCACTTCAGGAAAATATGCATACAACTAAAACTGAAATAACCAAAATGGACCTCTTAACCTTAAAAAATTTGACATAATAAGGTCTGACAAACCTCTATATAAAGATGCTAGGAGGAATGGAGCCAAGGCCATGGATTTTCCTTTTGATAAGGCAATGGCTAGCCAGGTAAGATCTTTAGTTATCTGAATGGCAGGGGCACAAAGTAGACATCTACATAACCAGAGCAATAAGAACCCTATATGCTCCTGATCACTTACTTCAGTGCCAGGTTTTCCTATCATTTCTTTCAAAAACGGGCTATGAGATTGAACGTGGGGTTTTGACCCCTCTTGCTCTAGATAAAAGAAGGTCGTTTCTGTATCTTGGAGGAGATAATTAATGTCTTCTCCTCCCAGTTTTAAACCAGTTAAGAAACAGATATCTCACAGGGTAGGGGCCATCATACCACAGTGTAAATGCAAAGAATTTGTGGTTGGAAACCAAAAGTGAGACGAAACAAAGAACAGAGGTCTATCTAAAGAAAAGGGAATCTTACTAAGTTGGATGATGTCGAAAATGCCCATCTATTTCCATAAGTCACCTTTGGCTGGAAAAACACAATCAACCCATTCGCTCTATTGAAGCATCGGAGGATGCCAATTCTTGATGGAAAGGGTCGGTCTTTCTCTTTCGGCGGTAAGATATATGGGTTTCGTAAAAAAGAGATGTTTCTTCGCTTGTGGATAAAAAAGGGATAGTGAAGAAGGCAACAAATGGCTAAACGTTGGGCCAAGCCCCTTAGCGTTATCTGTGATGTCGATTAAGATCAAGGTTTCTATTTCAAGAGCAATTAGGGTTTTCACTACTGATTTGGTCATTTGGGTATGCGAAGAAAGTTCAGGAAAATGGTTTTCTAAGTTTAGATCAGAGATTTGCTTTTAGGAAGACATAGTTGAAGGATGGAGAAGATTTAGTTGAAAAAGGAAATAAACACTTTAATAGAAGAGATTTTTGGTGATACAAAATGAAAAGTTTTGGATTGTGTTTGAAGAAGAGACATGAGGTATTGGGAGACAAAGAGTTTGATGCAGAATTAATGGTTGAAAGGATAGATTAGTGGAATCGGCATTTTTTGGAAATTACAACCATCATGATATTTAAGAGATTATATGATATAAGCGTGTTTACATTGAAATGGGTGTTGTTTTGAATTTTGGAAGCCAAAGTGTTAAAACGGCTACCAAAATTGAAGGGCATTGTTTACACCCATTTTGGTAATTAGGTTATTTTGGTAATTGGGCTGGATATATAGTGACATGGTAAGAGATTGGGCTGTGAAGAAGGATTCAACTTGGTATATGGGTTATAGACTGTAAGGCCTGATGAGTGATGATGTTTTAGAAGCTTGGGCT